TATATGTTTTAATTGGCCTTTGTACACGTCCCAATCACTTATACCGCTATACTATTATATTTTTGTAGAAAAAGTGAAAAGGAAGGTAAGAGCACTATCATTTGCAAAATCTTGGACAGGCATGACATGTTTGTTATAGTCTACGTGAGAAGCCTCTTAACGATTTGCAACTACCTTGACAGCATCATACTCTTTTTCTATTTCACTTAAAACTTTAGCATTCAACGCTGGAACTCCACACTGACAGGGATGAGGATGAGGAAGCCAAGGTCGAGGAGGAAGCCCCACCTTCAGTGGAAGAGGTCCAGCAACTTTTGTTAGATTTCGAGGGACGGGTGCATGAATTGGTCTCGCTGATGAATAACAAGCTATGGGCATTTATAAAGATGAAAGAGCAGATTTTAGAAGACGCGTACTTGTGAAAAGCTGTGGTAATCTACACCGAAGAACTATCAAGTGCAATGCCTGTTCTCATCTATGCCCTACTTTCTAATAATAATGCCTCTAAAAGTAAAAAACCACCCATTCGGTTCAGAACATGTGGACCTCATTTGACCTCGAATCTTTTACGTTTAGCCAACTTTTGCGGATGTTTGCACTGCTATTTGATCTGTCTTCTATAAATAAACTTTCCTCATGATTTTTTTTTACCAAAATACCGTTTAATCATAGCGTCCGTATCTGCCAGCGTTACGTATACGCTCATTTTCTGCATCCAGCTGATGGCGGCGTCGAGCACCCCAGTCGACACATTTATTTCTGATGGAATTCGATTAATTTCCATTATACTAGAAGAAAACTGAAAAAGGAATATAAAAAAAGACGTTCAATGTATTCAAGTGCTGGATTTAAACACCAGAAATTCTGGCGCTCGTACGATCTTCGTGATGGAGAAGAAAATAAATTGGAACCATATGTCAGACGAAACCCTATCACAATCATTCTGGCCGACCTAAACTAACTGTTTCCCCCACCACCCCTTGAGAATGCCACCATTCTCACGATAATTAATTTCACACAAAGACACCCATGAGCTACCAGGCTATCTAGAAAGTGGCTACCGATGTCTCGTAAGCTCTGATTGGTCCAGGTCTCGGACAGTGTCTCATCAGGCGGACCAGTAAATATGCGCACCCTTTGTGTGAGAAGGACTCCCTTTGTGTGAATACAGTTCCGTTCGTGGTCGATTGCTTTCCTTTCTTCCCTCGTGCTGCCTTTGGGTATAAAGGTCAGACAAACTCACAGTTTGTGTTAGTTGCAAGTTCCAGGCGCGGCTCATAACACCACCGTAGTGCCGTAGCCAGGTAAGTTTTTCACTATGCATATTTTTCGTTGCCATTTTACTGACGGCCGCCTTATTTTTGTTCCCAAATGGAGAGTACCGGATTTCTTACACGTTAATGTATTATTCGAGATGAGTTTCGGTCAGTAGATGTCTCCCTTCTGGAGCTAATGCGTTTACTTTGAAAAGTAAAAGGAAGCCAGCTTCTGAGTTAAGGCATTAGTAAATATGATAGACGTACTACTTCATGAAATTGAAACCGAAAATTTGAAATGAGCTTTCTATTAAAAAATATTATTTACCCCGGGTTGTGGTAATAATTATCGTGCAACATTATCCCAAAATAATTCAGTTACACCAGTACGCTGGCTTTTAAATAGGCTTCTTTTCATAGTGTCTGCAAAACGACAGGTTTCAAAAGTGAGTATTAATTTCACGGTCCTAATGAGTCTTATGAATAGAAACATCTCAAAACCGAAAAACAACCATTCTCTGAATATAAAATTGGAAAAAGACGTAACTTGATACCAAATGAGTGTTTCCTAAAATATCTTGCATTTCAAAAATGCTTAGCAAATCAGTGGGAAGGATATCTGCTACTTAGGCGTTCATTGTTTAGAGTGTGCTGTTTTTGTAGGTGGCCAGAAAGAAGCTCGTTCAAAAGCCGACCACCTGACATGACTGGAATATCTTGGGATTATTCTGCAAGAAAAATATTATCAGAACTCTAGTTGTGTAAGATTATTTTATTGAAAATATTTTAGAATTTCTATTCAAATTACTCTAACTCAAGCTTGACAAACGCCTGCATAGTCATATCGGAATTTCAGATAACACTGCATTCGAGCACAGTAGTGGTTTATTATAATCCTTCTGATACCAAAGGAAAAAGGCGTTAAGAGGCGTCTTATAAAAAAACAATCATGAAAGTTTGCATAGGTTATCTGGCATCGCAAATGTTAGTCATTTATATGCGAACCATTTGTTTTTATATCTACTAACTCAGATCCAAAGACATAAAAGCAGATTTAAGACGGCAACTACGGCCATCAGGTGTGTGGATCGCGAATTCGATTAAGCAGAACAGAGTGTCTGAAAAAAATATTTAAGTGCGTTTCTTCGGGTGGTTTTGCAGTCATTTCATCTCAAACCATATTCCTATAATCTCCGCAATTGCTTTTCTGAGCTCCTCTCTGACCAAGACTTCAGACTTTTCTCGCCAAGCTCCGAGAACTGTAACTTCCCCAGCGGCCGTCGGTTGTTGTTGCTGCTGGTGGTGGTGCTGCTGCTGATTCTCCACATCACTTATGGTGCTCGCATTCCTCCCAAGTTCATGACCTCCGGTTGAATTTGGCGCCGCCAGTCTTCTCAAGTCGTAGGCTACATGGTGGCGACTGTCATGCTCCTGCAAAAAGTACTGATATATGCAAATTACTCTCTGGGTACTAGCTGTGCCATGAAATATACAAAAACGTAAAGATAATTTAAGAATGGTTGCCGGAACTTGAACAGAGTGCAGATATAGGGGCGTTGGATCAGGGTACCTCAGTTTGATTAGACCATAGACTAACCGAAAACCTTTAGTAAAGTTCTCATCATTTTCACTCAAAAAGGTATGTACATATTAGAAAAAAATGCTATTCCCAGGTTCGTATGTAATGTGGTAATGAGATACCTAAAGCTTGTTTATTGAAAGCTTCGGTTCCCGGTACAAATAGGCTAACTAGTACTCCTTGCGTTTGTTTTGTACTGTATTTCATCCGACGAAAGCTTGCTTTTTCGAACGAATATGTGGACAACCACAACTGCAGCGAGGCGGATAGAGAGACGTATGTAAGTCATTATGAAGGAGCATAGTGGATAGTTTTGGGTAAACGATGTAAACGTTTAAGGCTTTATGCCTTAGAGATAATAAATGTGGATTCTGTTAG